CGTAACGGGTCAGCGAGTGATTAGGGGTGGCAAAAGGGCAGTCGTGTGATTGTAGAAAGGGGCGTTTCCAGATGCGTGCAGACAGGAGAACGGCAAATACTCACAAAGGAAAAAAGTGTAAGGCGTAGAGGAAAAACAACAGGAATCCGAAAAAAGGAAGAGGGAGATTTTCTTTTTTGAAGATTGAAAAAACCCGAGAGAAATCAAAGGGGTGGGCGTAGGTCGAAATGTGAACAAAGATTGGACAGAGCGCTGGGCGGATACTTGAACGTTCCCCCCTCGCACAGATATTTTGGGTTGTTGGAAGAAACGAGAGTAGTACAGGTGGATTGGAAGGTTGTCGGAGTGGGGAGAAAGGGATGGTCGGTCGGTCGGTAGGCTGCGTCTAATTTTTTCGAGACAGTGAGTCAACGATAGCCTCGCTGGCAAGACATGAAACGCACCATGGTGCTCTAGAATACGAACAAGGGCATATCCTTAAGCAACTACGCAGACCATGGATTGAAAGGGGTCGGAAGGGTTAGGGCCTCCTTCCTCGTTCTTCGGAACGTGATCATCTTGAGAAACGGCTGATGAGAAGATGAATCCAAAGAAATCCATGAGGTGTTTTGTAACGTCCGAAGAACGAGGTGTAGGGGAGGGCGACGGTCTGGTCGTAAAAAGAAAAAGAAATGAAAAGGGGGAGAGGGGAGGATAAGTGTGTGAGCCCCTTTGAAAGCCACAATGCATTTCTGGGCATTCGACATCCCAGCCTCGCGAACGGAATGGCGATTGAATGGGGTTTACAAGGGCCAATCGCATTATTCGGCCACAATTGATGGAAGCTTGCCTTGAGGCTCGATTCGGCCCACCTGCGACCACTCTCTCGTCCAGCCGTTCCTAGAGAGTATGGACGACAGCGGTGCCTACTCGTCCAGCTTCGTTGAGCCTATGCTATACATATGCCAGCGGCGTCCAATTGCGGCCTCTATACATGCCTCGGCAGGGGTCTGCCTTGCACACTACCGTTATAATAGGCGCATTGGACTCTATTCACATACCATAATCTACGAGACCCCACATTGTGGTCCGTCTCCACTGTTGGAAATAACGCAGGAGGGTCGTTGCAAATTTGGGCATCAATACAGAAACGAATATCGCTTGTATTTTAATACATAACTCAACGAGAGATATCTACATTGCATATTTGACATACATCCTTTACAAGTTCGATACTGGGGCCAACCTACCCCACACAATTAACCCAAGACTCTCCGTAAACAAATGACGAAAAGTCAAGAGTTGTGATGACCACATCACCAGTAACAAAGGTATTACTCGGCCGCAACAGGGTAGTCCGCAGCTCCGGCGGCACCCAAAAAAGCAGTTCACCATTCGGGCCAAGGACCCATTCGTCTTCCAAAGATGTTCGGTCCAGAGCCGAGAGGATCATGCTGTGAGGGCCTTGGAACTTGTTAAATGTATCAGTGAAAAACCAAAGTAGAATAGGTGTAATTGATACGCTTACCTGAGTGTCCAAACTCCATACCCTGATCGTCTTATCCGCTGAGGCGGAGAAGACACACTTTCCGTCCGATGAGAATTTCACAGACAGAATTTCGCGTGTGTGCCCTATGAACTGACTTGATATGACATCTCCTGTCTCAGCGTCCCATACTAAGATTCCCCGGTCCACAGATGCCGACACAATATACTTACCATCTGATGAGAATGAGACAGATAGGACGCGCCATATCTTGTCGTCTCCCAACGGCCCCAGCACAGAGTTGCCTGTTTCAACATCCCACACCCGGATTGGTCCCCAATCATGACCCGACACAATCCGCTTGGAGTCTGGTGAAAATGCGAGAGACAAGACTGGGGCATGTCCTTCATATGGTCCTCCTATGGCCTTCAGTGTCTCAGTGTCCCAGACCCAAATTGTATCATGGTGAGTCCCTGAGGCGACGAGCTTGCCATCTGATGAAAATACGACAGAACAAACATAGAATTCAGGATAAACTATCGACACTTCCATAGATTTCCTTGTCTCTAGGTCCCAGATAAGGATCGCACCGTCGCCATGTCCTGAAACGAAGTGCCTCCCATCCGCTGAGAATGCAAGGGACTGTGATAAGGCCATATGTGTCTCTAGTTCCTTCACGAGTTGGCCTGTCTTTGAGTCCCATATCCGTATCTTCGACGAATAATATGCTGAAGCAACTAGCTTCCCATCTGGTGAGCATGACACATACGAGATAATCGTATCCGGTCCTTTTGGTGGCTCTACAGCTGAGGCGTGCACCACACCTTCCCATACTCTTTCTGGTTCACTGGATGAAAGCACGATGATATGCGTTTCATCCGGTGAGAATGCAATAGACCAGTCTAGATCTGAATGCTTTTCGAGAGTTCTTGCTATTTTCCCGTCCATCTCAGCATTATGTGGCCGATTTGGATCGCCACTGGACTCTGAGATGATATGGCCGCTACTAGCTGGAAATCCAACAGATATGGATGGTACTTCTTTCTTCCCAATCGATTTTCCTATCGCTTCACCAATCCTAGTATCCCACATCCGGATCGTCTTGTCAGAAGAACTCGATACGATGTGTCTACCATC